TGTTCCTGGTGCTGTGGTGAGTGTTGGTGTACGTGTTCCTGGTGCTGTGGTGAGTGTTGGTGTACGTGTTCCTGGTGCTGCACTGAGCGTTGGTGTACATGTTCCTGGTGCTGCACTGAGCGTTGGTGTACGTGTTCCTGGTGCTGCACTGAGCGTTGGTATACGTGTTCCTGGTGCTGCGGTGAGCGTTGGTATACGTGTTCCTGGTGCTGTGGTGAGCGTTGGTGTACGTGTTCCTGGTGCTGTGGTGAGCGTTGGTGTACGTGTTCCTGGTGCTGTGGTGAGTGTTGGTGTACATGGTCCTGGTGCTGCACTGAGCGTTGGTATACGTGTTCCTGGTGCTGCGGTGAGCGTTGGTATACGTGTTCCTGGTGCTGCACTGAGCGTTGGTGTACATGTTTCTGATGCTGCTTTCAGGTCTCTTGGGCCTACACCTAGGGACGGAACTACTCTGTCGTATGATAGTACTATGTTCACTTTTTTTGATGAACCACTGAACTGTTGTCCACATGGGTGTACCATTTGGCATCCCCACCTGAAATGGACTGAGGGTTCCAGTTTCTTTACATCCTTGCCAACATTTGCTGTATTCCACATTTTTTATCTTACCCATCCCAGTGGAGGTGAAGTAATGTCTCATTGTGGTTTTAATTTGCATCTCCCTAATGTTTACAGGGTCGCTGTGGGTCAGAACCGACTCAATGGCACTTCACAACAACAAATGTGGGTTGATAAACTTCTGGCCTGTGGGCCACATAAGGCCTGTGTGGTCATTTGGTCCGGCCCTACCAAGGCAACCACAGTCCCAGCCATCACATTAGGGATGTGTTAATTAAATGATTGAGCAACTATAGTTGATAATTTTGTATGGCCTGTGAATGATGTTATAAATTTTGGCAATAAAAGGTTGCTCACCCCTTCCCTAATAGATAATGATGTTGAGCATTGGCATTTGTATATCTCCTTTAATAAAAAGTCTGTTTGCCCATTTTTTGATCCGGTTGTTTGTCTTTGTTGTTCATGTGTAGGAGGTCTGTATATATTCTGGATCTTAAACCCTTATCCTATATAGGGTCCCTCCAGATGTTTTTGCCATCTGTAGGTTGTCTCTTCACTTTGTTCTTAACACCCTCCACTGAACATTGTTGATGTTGTTAGGTGCCATCGATAGCAACCCTATGAGTTGAAGAGAACTAAAAACTCTGGTCCGGCATCATCCTTACAGTCATTCCTATGTTTGGGCCCTTGTAGCCATTGTATCAGTCCATCTTGTTGAGGGTCTTCTGCTTTTTCTCTTACCCTCTACTTTACCAAGGATGGGTCCCTCCTGATGACATGTCCAAAGTGCATGAGCTGAAGTCTCTGTTCTCACTTCTGAGGAGCATTCTGACTGTACTTCTTCTGACACAGATGTGTTCATTCTTCTGGCAGATCATAATATATTTAATACTCTGCCAACACCATAATTCAAAGGCATCCATTTTTCTATGGGCTTTCTTAGTCATTGTTTAGCTTTTTCTTGCATATTGTTGTTGTTATGTGCCGTCGAGTTGACTCCGTAGTAGGTGATTGAAAATAGCATGATTTGAGTCAGGCACATCTTAGTCTTCAAAGTGATCATCTTCGCTTTTTAACAGCGAGGTTTTATGTAGCAGATTTTGCACAAAGCAATGCCATTTGATTTCCTGACTGCTGCTTCCATGGACATTGATTATGAACTTCAGTCTTTTCTCCCTGTTTATCGTGATTTTGCTTATTGATCCAGTTGTGAGGATTTTTGTTTTCTTTACGTTGAGGTATAATCCATATGAAAGCTGTAGTCTGTGATCTTCAGCAAGCAAAGTTGTATCACTTGCATATGCAGGATGTTAATCAATCTTCCTCAATCCTGATGCTGCAGTTTTCATATGGTCTAGCTTCTCAGGTAATTTGCTCAGCATCCAGATTGAATATGTATGATAATAGAATATACCCCTGCCACATACCTTTCCTGATTTCAAGCCATGCAGTATGACTGCTTTGTGGGCTATGTACAGGTTCCACATGAGCACAATTAAATGTGCTAGCATTCCCATTCTTCGCAATGTTATCCATAATTTGTTGGATTTAGGCATTGATTTTTGAGGGCCTGAGATCTTTGAAGTGACTTTCATGCCTCTAAAAGGTAAATTTAAGTTTTGAATACCACTGTTGTTGAATGCTGTTGAGTTGGCTCAAACTCTGACCCTGTATGGAGTTTCCAAGGAACGACTGGTGGGTTTGAACTACAGACCTTGCAATTAGCAGTCCATTGCTTATCCCACAGTGCCACCTCATGTAAATTATGTTTTTGTTTGCCATGTATTATAGAAATATTGGCTGTTTATACCTTATCACTCTATGTAGTATTTATATACATAGAAATCTTAAATGTAAAGTTCTTGGACTTCTGACAGAAATATACACCCAGGCATCACACACCCTAGTTAAGGTTGACCCATAAAGTCCCCTGAAGCCCTTTTCAAGTCAGTCCCTCCCACAGGAACAATCACAATGGTGTTTTATAGGAGCAAAGCTTAGTTTTCACTATTTTAGACTCATTGCGTCTGCTTTCTTTCACTCAGTGAATACTTAGTAATGGTATTGCTGATTCATAGGGCAGGTGCATGTTTAGCTTTTTTAGAAACTGCTGTGTCAGCCTTGAGCATTGTGTTCTTTTTAAAACCTTCTATATGGGATTCCTGGTGTGGCACTGTGGGTTAATGCACCAGACTGCAAAGCCGTTTGAACTGCAAGGTCAGCGGTTCAAGCTCACCAGCTGCTCTTCGGAAACCCTATACAGGGTTGCTATGGGTCGGGATTGACGCAACAGCACTTCACAACAACAACATATGGGATTAAATTAAAGATTAGATAGGAGTTTTAGGCAGTAAATTTATGTTAATATGAGAGGAGGTCCTATAGGAACCCACTTGATAGCACTTAACAACATGGAAGGAAAAACTCATAAAGAAGAGAGAGAATGGTTGTATAACTTGAATGTAATCAGTGTCACTAACTAGTACATATAGGAATTGTTCAATTGGTACATGTTTTGCTGTGGATATATCAAAACAAAACAAAGTTGCAGTACCATTTTGCACTTCTCACCAGGAATGTAGGAGAATTCTGGTGGCCGTACATCCCCTCCTACGTTTGATGTTGTCAGTATTTTCATTTGAACTATTTTGAAGGGTGGTTGTTAAGTGCCGTAGAGTCGGTGTATAGAATTTCCATGGAGCAACTGGTTAGTTTGAACTGCTCACCTTGTGGTTCAAAGTGACCTTGTGGTCCTGTGCTTATCGTCCAGCACCACACCAGGAACACATTCTGAAGTGGGTGGTATATCTGCAGTTTTAATTTAGATTTCTCTTTATGACCAGTGATGTTGAGACCTTTTTAAAAATGTGTTTTATATTTTCTTTGGGGTGTCTATTCAGGAGTTTCACCCATTTTTTTAGTGGACAGCATATATTTTTCCTTGATTGGTAGAAGTTCTTTCCATAGTCTGTATGTCTTTTGTCCAGTTTATACATTTCAAATATTCCCTTTGTCTGTGGCTTCTCTATTTGAACAGTCTTTTGTTGAGTAGATAGATTATCCAGTTTATCATTTTTTTTCTTTCATGATTAGTTATTTCAATCAAATATTGGACTACTTCTAGGCAAATAGGTTGTGAGGATCCATTTTCTTCTAAAAATTTTGTATATTTTTCCTTTTTATGATTAGTTCTTTGGTCCATTTTCTGTTACCTTTTA